CAGCACTAACATCAATAAATGTCTGAGAATCTTCAAGAAGGCTCCAAACAAAGTGGAATAATGTATGGAAGATGATAATCTATCAAACAGTCGCTGCGTCAGTGTCTTTCTTGGGAGGCAAAAACGTTGAATTAATTAATATAGTGAGATAATTAAAAACGTCCCCGCTCCACTCTGCTGCGGTATGCATTGACTCAGCTGTAGAGACTTCCTGCTCTCGCCAAACTGCAGTGCACAGTTAAATAAGTAAGAAAGATATGACAAACAAAGGCTTGACAAGTGTGGGCAGAGACAGAGACCTGCCACCTCTGCTCACAGCAAAAGTCACTTCAATCCATGTGCTTCAATACAAATGCTAACTATTCTCCTCCAGCAAGTTCAAGGTATATTAGGAGGATTTCCCCAAATTTTAGGAAAGAACCGCCCTCTCCACTCTCAAAACTCTGGTCTTGTTTGACGAGCACCAGAATGATTGGGAGGAGCAATAGTCTTGATGATCTACAAAAAGTCTACAAAATCATCCTATATACCTTTAAGTCAAGGACAGGAACTGAAATAAATATTGTTTTATGGAAACTTCTTGAATAAATGTGATACTACATTATCTTATGGACAAACAATACATTATTATTTAAAACTAAGGCTATATCCACACGAAGACAAAACGCTTATAATTTCAGAAACTTTTTCTGTAAACACGGAGTTAGCTCAGTAAATGTGTGCGTCCATATGAATGTAGTCAATACGCCTGAAAACGCTGTGAAACTATGCCAGACCTGTTGGTGGCGCTGTGACGCAATGACGGGATCAAGCCCAAACTTCCGTGACGGGAACTGGGCATGCGCAGAATTTTGCGCAGAATTTAGTAAACAGACAACATGGCGAGTGGGCGAGCTGGTACTACATTAGTATGGACGGACGATGAGGTTGAACTGTTGCTTCGGGTCACACTGGATTACAAAACCAACAAGCTACATTGTTGTTGTCATTATTTTCTGAGTGCGGCGCATGAGTGCTTTAACAAGAGGCGGGGCGATGACGCAAGCGTCTCAGATACATTGCGGAGAGGCAGTAACCACGGAGCGGCATATACGGAGTTTTGAAATCTTTCCACTCTGGGACCTAGTTTCAAAAATGTTCGTTTACACCCCCCCAAAACGCCGGCCTCGTATGGACGATACACTGGATTGATAAAGTATTTTTGCGTTTAGGCCTGAGCTTGACTTCGTGTGGACAGGGCCTAAATACGATTGAAGCTGTAGGCATCTCTTTTACTGTCAAAGTAAAGTGTAAATAACAGAAAAAGTGCATTCCCATAACTCAACAGCTGGAAAAACCTCCCTTTTCACCAGTTTTCAGTCCAATATTGGTTCACATGGAAGAAGAATAGGATAAGATGAATTTCTCCAATTGCACAAAGCTGATTATTGCCACACACCCCCATCTCATCACACAACGCCATCATTTCATCCAGTCATTTCAATTGATGAACAGAAGAAAATAAAGCCCTAACCCTGAAGAAATCAAGTACTTTCAGCTGGTTAAACAAAGAATGCTTTTAGTAAATTGCAGGTTTATTTTCCAGTGGTCGGCAATACAAAGCAGCAACCATTGTTACCAGAAAACAAGTTAATTTGAGCCAATTCCACTGAGTGCAATCCAACTGCTGCACACAGCGCAAGGCAAACAAGCCATTGTTCATGAGCAGATGCATCACAGAATAAACAAGAGACAACTGCAGAATCAAACCAACACTGTGCTATCTTTTTAGGAACAATCCTGGACTACATCATAAGTCTTTCTCCAGATACAGTACATCGGTGGAAAGGACCTGACAGTTTTCACCGCAGAACTAAACAAGCCTGGAATACTTTACCAGTGACCAGAGCCAGGACTGAGCATAGTTCAAGCTTTAAAAGATAAATCAAAACTTATCTGGGTGGATGTGTGTCATTTGCTCTTGAGTTTTTGAGTAGGAATGTAAAAAACTATGAATTTTTATGACCGACCCCCGAGACTCATTAACCGGTTGAAACCGGTTAACCGTGTAGTTTAAAATATTCTACGTTCTTTGAAATAACAGGCATTTCGAGCCGCGTACTTTTCATAACTGCAGCTCTGTGTTCCACTGGATCAACAGCTTCGGCACCTTTGCGCACAGAGTACTGCTTTATTAATCTTCCCATTTCTCCGCTAAATTTTAAATACAGTGATGTGTGTGGAGCTGATCTAATGACCAGGACCATCAGCACAAACATGTTTTCCCATGTGGTTTGATGGAAGCCGCGTATTTGCGAGGATCCTTTGGGCTGCGTGACACAGAGGACAGACCGGTATGTGTGTATATGTATGTGTGTGTATATGTATGTGTGTATATGTATTTGTGTATACATGTATGTGTGTGTAAATAGAAGCTCCAATGTAGTTTTGACCGGCATCAGTGTGCAACTTTGGCGGACTAGAAACAGAGGGGGGAAATATGTGTGTGTGTGTGTGTGTGTGTGTGTGTTTGCGCATGTTTGTGTGCATGTGCGGCATGTAAGTCGGCCCGAAGTTTACTGATACATTGGCGCACACAGCTAGATACAGACCCGCTCGTCACATCGTGCAAATAGGGCTTAAAATAGCGTTATTAAGAGACCTCCCGCCTCCCTCTTTTCTTATTTTAACCGACAGCTTTGACCGGTTAACGCTGTGACGCTCAACCACCGGTTAAACGGTCAACGATTTACATATCTGTGTAAAAATCTATTCCAATGTATTGAATTGTTGGTGTGTATATATTGCATAGTGCATCTGTATGTATATTTGTATGTATAAATGTTTTTGTGCACATACATTGTTTGAATTCAAATTTCAAACGGATCCTAAATAAACTAAACCAAGCTAAACCGCTGTGAGACATGTCTGAAATGTGAACATGTTTTTAGTAGTGGGTCACAATAAAAACAAATAGTTACATGTAATATGAATTTATCAGTGCACAAATTGTGTCTTAAAGCTGGGGTGCCTAACTTTCAAACCACAAAAAAATAATCTATTGTCCATTGCTTTGGTTCAATCACTAGTTTTCACAAGCATGTACTGTATGATTAGCCTCTGTCACATCTTTAGATCAGGTACACTAACCCGACACTAACCCTCACTCAGCCAATCAGCTCAGTAATAATGTATTTAATCATTTGCTGAAAGCATGGGGAAGCAGCGCATTAATTCAGTTGAACAGTCTTCCTGAAATTGTGAAACTGGCTTCTAATCTGACAAAAACTGTTGTTTAGCTGTGCATATAACTGAAGGAATGTACTGTATCTCCACTTTGTTAACCTACTGTGATTATTGTAATGCCCTGTATGATTACAAAAACTCTTGAAACACAAATGATTCCTACATTATACACACCATGAACCAAAAATAGTCCAGCGATCTGTGTATTGTTTACTGTAACATGAAGTAAGGGATAACGTATATTACGCAGGTCATTATCGGAAAATAAGTACCGACAGGCGACAGGTACTTATTTTCCGATAATGACCTGCGTAATATACGTTATCCCGCTTATTTTACGGCTTTATACCAACAGAACACACAACATAAACTGCAGTCCACTTTTAGGAATGCCGAAAGGTTTATTTAATGACAGAAAATAAAATAGTTCCCAAAGGCTTTCCCGTGGCTATGCTAGCAACAGTTAGGCTAGCAACTTCCAAACTAGAACTCTCTGGAACTGCATGAAAACTGAACAAAGAATTCTGAACATCAGCGGTGAGAGACTCAAACATAAACCTAACCTAAATCCATAATTCCATCCTCTGCAAATGTTCCTAAAATGTGCCGGTATCTACTTCCGGGTTTTTCGGGATCGCCTTTTCTCGCATTACATCAGTGTTTTTGTCATGAAAACGTAAACGGAACATTCTGAAAACTTCCGTGCACTTGTATTAAGACTGGATATGTATAAATTACTCTCCGATTAACATTTCATTGCGTTGATTGATTGGCATTTGTGTTTATTGAGCGGCCGGAACTACTTTCGGGTTTTTCACGATCGCTTTTTGACGCAGAGAAATAGTATTTTTGTCATGAAGACAAGACCAGAAAATTCTGAAAATTTCCGTGCACGTGTGTGAAGAATGTATATGTTATAAGTATTCTCCGATTAACATTTAAGTGTGTTGATTGAGCGTGGCTAGCTCAGGAGTGGCCGGAACTACTTGCGGAGTTATCCACGCATTTGAAAGACAAGCAGAGAGTGCGTTGCCAAAGGGCAGCGGTCATTATTGTTTTGAGAGGTCCGTTATAGAAAATAATGACCGGTAGAACGTTTTGAAATTACATTCAAATCAATGAATAAAATGAACTGAAGAGTTAAAACTTAAACTTAAAGGATGGGTCTGAATGGGTAAAATGTTTAGAGATTGGGTTAAGAGTTGTATAAAGGTATAAATATAACATTGTTTTGCTAATTATGCTTCCTGGAGGTTCCCTTTTACAAGCTTTAAAAATTAGTATGTGCATGACTTCGAATTGAATTGTATGATTGTTCCCATCATGTTTTGTTGAGCACTTTCAGATTAAGCTAAAGCGGATAATCAGACTGGAAGACAGGAAGAACTAAGCTCACAGCGCCCAAAGTCCTCCCACTGTTGCTCACGGCAACAGCAATCAGTCAATCACACTCCCACAGCCGCACGCCAATCCTCACCAGGCAGCAATCAGGCACTGTTCATCAGCTTCATATCGCAACGAAGCTCCATCCAAGCAGCAGCTTCAGTCATTCTGCAACCCTCCTCCTCCCCAGCTCTGCCTCATTCCTGGCCAGCTTTATCATCCTTCTCACATCCTACCACCAGGGTCTCATAATCTCTTTCCCCTTCTGCAATTGTGCAGTGATCTGCCGGGGTCTAACCACATTTCTGTACAGCACAATAAACATAATCTTGAGAATATTTTCCTCATATGAATGAAGTGTGCTTAACAAATAAACTTGTGATGCCATAAACTCAGTAATAAACAGTCCAGCGTGGTGACCTGCGGACGCCGCGTGGCCTCCTGTGCTCCTCACACACTCTGTACTCACATGCATTGGTGACGGCGAAACTGTTGGCGGTCTCGATGTTGTCCACGTGCGGCACCAGGTTAAACGGTGCTTCCGTCGCATTGGGGCTGGTGTTGTGGAGGAAGATGGCCAGTCGAAACGCCGTGTACTCCTGATCAGTATTCCTAATGAACAATCCACCTATAGGGGGGTCGAAAGAGGAGAAGGGAAGGGAGGGGGAGAAAGGAGGGGTAGAGGACATGATGGAGAGGTGAGGAAGTAAGTTATCACGGGACGGCACAGGGTCAGGAGGAAGCGCACCGCAGAAAGGAACAAATAAGGCAATAGGAGGGGAAGATGGATGGGGAGGGGGGGAGGAGGGGGGACAGGGGGCGGGGCCAGGGGAGAGAAAGGAAACATCTTCATTAGCTTTGTTACAAAAAGCAATTTGTCTTAGCTGCCCTTACACACACACACATACGCAAACATACACACACACACACACACACACATACACACACAAAATGTTAAGACACTGCGGCTATGTTGACAACATCAGTGGAAGATTCCGAGGGAGAAGAAGGCTCAGAGAGGACCAGCCAGAAATATTGATTTTACAGTGAACATTGCTCTTTAAAGTAATAGTTATATATGTGGTGGTGTTAAAGTTCAGAGTTTGTTTTGTCCCCTTTTTTGTTGGTCCAGTTGGCGCGCAGTCCAGGTCGTGGTGTTGTCATTTCTGTTCTATTTAGACTCGATAAGGATTTAAGTTTATTCTGGGTTATGTCCTGGTTAAGTCTGGTTTTAATGAAGTCCTGGGTTTGGATTGAGTTGGCGTCTTTATGATTTGTCATATGGGACTGTCTTATCTGCGCGTTTTCACACATTATACACTAAAATTAGAGGGTGTAGTGCAGGGTCTCCCAAAGTGTGGTCCTCAGAGGCACTGCAGGGGGCCTCAAAGGTTTTCAGCAAACCCGTCACTAGAATTTAAAGCAAATAGTGTTGTATTTAAAACATATATTATGAAAAAAATACATTATCATACATTATATATCATCAAAAAACAAACAAGCGTTGTTTTGAGATCCATCCACGCCAAGAATGATGTAACTCCGCCCCTTCTGTCTAAAATCTGTCTCAGTCCTGTAATAGTATGACGTCATTCTCCTGCTATGACATCACGCTTACATAATTTTTTTCTGAAAGACACATGCCACGTGTTTCGCCTGTCCGTATACATTTTTACAAGACAAAAATTAAAACATTGAATAAAAATCAAGACACACAAGGAGGAAATATAAGGAGAAATAACTAATAGTGGGATTATTAGACAAACTTAACACATCCAGAGAAAAGGACTTGCATTCTTAGTAGCAGAAGCAGACATTGAATGCATAGGACTCTAAAATTGGCTTTTTATCAATAAGTATTATGTATTTTTTATTGTATTTTAAGATAAACTTTATTGATCTCACAATGGAGAAATGTACAGGGTCTATATTTCCTATCATGAATCACAAGTTTAAAATGACCACTGCCAAATGTAATAATATCCCAACGCCAGCAGCTGAACTTTGGAGGCGGATATGAACCTCATTGACTGGACTGAGGTGAGGATGTGACCTTGGCCTTTCTGCAGCGGCCTCATCATCCCACAGTGAAGAGAGAGGGAGGAGCTAATGCCAAACCTGAGTGCTGCCCCTTGAGGCTGTGCTGACTTATGACATTCATAAAAACATGACAGATAAACACACATGTGGAACTCCACGCCTCCAGCTACCACAGTCACCTGCATCATCACACGGGCCGCTGCCAATGAGCAATAAACATGTGGCTCCATTATAAGGAATGGCACATTTTCTATAATATAATGGACAGGCAGAGTAATGGCCGCGGGCACTTTTTATTTTTTATTTTAGAACAGGTTTGGGAAAGGTCCCCGGCTACACCCTTAATCGCTGTGGAATCAAAATCGCAATTTTCCAAGTCGAGATCAGCAAATTATAAAGATTGTATTTATTCAAGTTCTTTGCAAACAACACATTTATGAAAGAAAATCACTGGAATTTGGAAAACTTTATTCAGAAGATTTGGGACAGAAGCATTATTTTGAAATAATATTGAAATTCTATATTCAAAAGCTGAAACTGTAGAATGTTTTCTACATGTGAGGTAATTATAGGTTGGAACTGTGTATTATGTACATGGGAGTCCAAGTTTCTTTCTTCCCACTTCATTTTGAGCTGATCATTTGTAAATATAATTGTAAATATAAATGAATGGAAAAAGGTAACTATTTAAGCTTGAAGAGGAAGCAAACAACTCGCACACTGTACTTGCATACACCAGTGTTTTTTATTTACAGATGCAACGTCAGGCAAATGGTCATCGCCTGACAAAGGCCCACGGCCGAAATGTTGCACATCTGTAAATAAAAAACAGTGGTGTATGCAAGTGCAGTGTGCAAGAGTTGTTTTTGTCTAAGTTGGCGAAGCTGCGTACAGAGCCTGATCTTACCTGTCACAGAGTTGGACGTGCAAAGTTTCAGATATCCACTATTTAAGTTTGAATTCATCAATAAAGACTGAATTAAGGTAATCGCTTCACATGTATGCTTTTCCAAAAGGAATTCTTGAATATGTTGTTATTGTCATGGTGGGAGGGAGGAGGACTCAAAATGCAGGAATGCCAAAATAAGGATTTAATCAAATAAAAATCCAGAGAAAAACAAAACACAAATTCGGAACCAGGAACAAGGAAAATACAGGACAGATATCGACAAGACAAAACAATGAATCAGCATCAAGGGGAGAGGAGCACAGGGCACACACACACACACACACACACACAAACGCAGTCACGTACGCGCACACACACACACACACACACACACACACACAGGGGCAGGGCAGACAATCAACAGGGGAACAGGACGCAAAACTGAAATGAAACCCACAGAACTAATGGCAAAATAAAACCAAATACAGAAATAAAATCCACAACATGACAATTATTACTTTACAAAATAAACTTTTACAAATCCAAAATCACATCAGAAGGTTGGTCAGGAATATCACATTTAGATATTCTGCCAAAATCATGCAGCACAAGCCCGGTCTGTGATTAGTTCTGTGTTAGGCCAACTTGTTTTGGCTGAAATATAGAAATACTGTGACCTGGACTAGAGGTACGCTAAACATTTAAGAAAGATGAAGTGTGTTGTATTAAATATAGGCTAAAAGGCGATGTGAATTAGATTGACCTGAAATTGAACTCTGTCTGTCTCCAAGCAAAAAGAAAGACCTTGTATTGCCCTACTCCCCTTGTCCCATTTTGTCCAAAGTGCATGGGTGAGTTAATGATAGTTAATCTGGGGGGATTCTGCTAATCTTTTCAAGTTGTGAAAGAAGGAGAGCTTTCTGCCTTATCTCAAAGGAACCAATAAATCTATAGGCTGGGGAGGGGGAGTGTGTGAATGATTATGTCTAGGTCTGGCGAGACGGAGAAGACATGATGGAGGCCGGACCCGGGACCCGAGAGAAACGACACGCCCCCTTCTTCATGCACATTTGCTTAAATAACCTCATGCTTGTTTTTTTAGACTAGACTGGATCAGGGACAGCAGTGTGACTTTGCGTGGAGCGCCCACCAAAGTTATACTTTATACTTTATATAGGGAATAAGGGATAGTTAAAGTTGGTCCAGGTCGTTGTGTTAGATTCTTTTTGTATTAGGGAAATAAACCTTTTTGAATTTAACTTTCTGAATCATGGTCATCTTTATAAGGGATTTTGAACACGTCATTTTTTAATACGTTAATTGGTGACCCCGGACGTGATCCCTTTGATGACTTTTCGCCTTCCCTTGGACTCTGCGTCTCTCCTCAAAGCGGCCGCTGAACTGAAGGTAAGCAGATACCTTTTGACTAATTAAAAATCTGCATATTGGACTACACAAATTAAGGGGAGAGGAGTTTTGTCCACGGAGGAGCTAATTCAAAAAGTAAAAATAGTAAAAGCCTAAAAAGTAGTGAGAGCCTTGCGAAAATACGTTAAAATTAAATAAAATAGGAGTCTAAGTAGCTAGAACCCTGCGAGAATACATTAAAAGTAAAGATTTTTTGAGAAGCCTTGCCAGAAACAGGAAAGCCCGCTGTGACTAGCGTGGTTGACGGACGCGTCAACACACAAGTTAGGTTTAACCCATTGGAACCTGGGGGAATTTTGGGCCCCCCCGAAAAATGGAGACAGGCATTCCAATCGAGCAGCTATATAGAGAAATAGAGGCTCAGATTCTGAGTGGTCTGGATAAAAAATATAGGAACAAGGCAAAACGAAAGGCTGTGAAAGCATGGGAAAAAATACAGAACAAAAGGGTCATACCTGAGTATATGACAGCGTCCGCATTGGCTAAGATATTGCGGGAAGAGGAAAATAATTTAAAACAGGATAAACTTGAGCTTGAGGGAAAGCAAGGAGAGAGTTGGAATGAGCGTAGAAAAATTAAAAAGAAACTAAAAAAGGCTGAGAAACTGAGGACCAAGGTACATAATTTTGCTTTGGCTGCCACGGCGTTGGCAAAATTACAGATGGTAAGTAAAGACAAGGAAACAGAAAACGGAGCAATGCCGGTGAGTAATATATACCCATCCCTACCCACGGCTCCACCAAAATATTCTCTGGGTTTAGAACCAGGTAAGCCAAATCTAATATTGCCACAATATACATTTTCAGGAGAAGTGGCGGTAAGAAAGAGAGGGGACAATGACTTTGTAGACAGTGAATTTGACGAAGGGACAGAAGAGGAGTCTGTGGGGGACAATAGAGATCCGAGTCAAAATCCAGCTGTCAGCCTCCCGCCACAGCTCCCACACACCCCTCACCAACCCCTATCTATTCAAGAGGAGCTCCTGCACTCTCTCAGAAATATTAGAGCTAGGAAACCGACCTTTGAATGCACCACAGACAGAGTTGAGAGAGAAGAAACCGCAAGTAGGACCCATGATTACGAGACCGCTAGACAGGAGAATGCAAAATTAATTAATAAAGCCGCACGCAGAGCCATGACTAGGACGGACAGTGAAAGTGACAAGGGAGACGGTGCCATGGCCCCACCAGTACTTAAAGCTAAACAGGCTAAAAAAGGAGCTAAATTCTCTTCTGACAGTAGTGATGACGGAGACCAGGAGCCTGGAGAAA